TAAGTACTTTAGAACTCAACTTTAGTGAGGTTAAAGTAAAAATCTTTGCTTGAAATAGTATTAGTTTTATATAACTATTAGTTTAATGAGGGAGTATTCCTTTTAACTATAATATTGTTATTCTAGATCAGAGGGATGAAAGACCACCATGACCTAAGTAGCCACCACCTTGAAGGTCCAAACCTTCTTGTTGAGGACCCTCTTGGCTAAGGAGGACTTCATTCCCTTAATACCTCTTAAACCGAAGTCTTTAAAAGATTGTTGAGAGAACCTAGCCTAATGAGGTTAGCGTCGACAAGGCATGACAAAGCCAACTACTATAGATTCTATGAGGAGCATGACCATAATATTAAAAAAATTCATGATCTAAAGAAGTGAGTCAATAAACTTATGAGATGTGGATATCATGGGAAGTAACTTTGTGGACTTTGGGAGCCCTTTTCATGACCCAAAGGGCCCATGGAGATGTAAATTATGTCATTAATGGCAAGCCAACTTTATGGGTGCGGGGACAAGTGATACATGTAAAATCTACCTTTTAACATAATTATTCATATTAGATTTGTCATGACATCAACCACTAAAAAGAGTCTTTAATATACTCTCCTGGCATAAAAACATATTTGTGCACTTAGAGTAATTATTTAGATTACTCTAAGTTGCTAAAGATTTCTTTATAATCATCCATAGAAATTGAGATAAATTTAGATCATTCATAAAGTATTGGATAAGGATCGATGAATGTGCATCGATCACCAAAATAAGCTTCATCGATGAATCTCGAGACATAATCAACTAAGAACTCCTCATCCCTCTAACAAACTATTATGAGAGAAATCATGGTTTGCTTTAAGCATGTTGCTACTGAAGTACAGCTTGAATTGCTTTGCTAATTAGCTAAATCAAAATATTGATGCAAAGGGAGATAAAATTACTGAGCTACTATATGATGTGTACTTGCAAATTATTGACACAGTGTTTGATGTCACATAGAGGGTCATTTGCACACAAATTACTGCCACATACTCCATAAGGTATGTTAATATATATTTTGATTGTCTGATTAAGATGATGATTTGTAGCCAATTGAGATCTTATTTCATGCTTATCTCATACTAGTGTTGGAAAATATCATATCTACTTAATTTGTGATGTGCCAAACCCTTTAAAATTACATCAGGGGTGTGCCAAACAAAGCCCCTCTAATATTTATATTAGTCTTGGTTATAAGGTATCGGCCAAAATCGAGCCCTTAAGCATTGAATGTATTAGAGAGTTAGAGACACGATTAAGGAGCTTTTTATAGTAAATTTTTAGGACCGTTAGGTATAAAGATATATATTAATGTTGGGGACTATTACATACCTTTCTTAATCCTAGATGTCATTATGCTATGTTGAAACTATAGAACATGCAATGATCATGGATGCAATTATAATAACCATGGAATAATACTAAATTGACCATATGATGTCAAGATATCAACGATATAGTGTTGGGCCATCAATCACGTAGTACCAAGATGTCGATCATATAGCAAGTAGGTGTCAGTCATATTATCATCTCCATATAATTTTCCCCTCCTCTTTACGCCTTAATGAGTGTAGTGAAGTTAGGAAATAAAAGGATTTTGGTTTGTTAGCCAACATTAGAAAATTGATCAATTTACAGTCTTATCATCAATGGGAGTGTATTAAGTTAATTCAGAAGTGATAGGGGTAAAAAAACTGATTTGATGTAACACCCCGGATTTGACGTAATGCACCCCCACGTCGGACACCCTGTGCGGCCCACTGCCCCAAAACGAGCATTAACGACGACGCGACGTGCGCCCACACCCACCGTACCCGAACAACCTCCTCGGCTGACCCCTCGTGGCCGGCCGAGGCAGGCGAAGGCGCTAACTGACACCCTCCATACCCTGCGGCAGCTCGGCCTTCCACGCAACGTCCACAACGACGACATACGCCGTCAGAGGTACGACCCTGCCCCGGCAAGTTGTCGCACCAGGTAACATCAAACCCGCTTATAAATACCCCCTGGCTCCCAACGGGCAAGGGGATCTGCCCAAAGAAACACCTCTCCTTTATCGCTAACTTGATCGTCAGAGGGGTCGGGCCGAGCTACCGACCCGACCTGTGTGCAGGTGCCCGACCGTCGCTGGATCCCTTCGGCGCCGCAGAACTTTCCAAGCCAGCCCCCCCTGCGTCAGCAACATCTCGAGGGGAGCCGCGTCTGATCCCAGCCATTTGGAGTCCTGAACCAACCGCGTCGACTCTGAGGTCACGGCAAAAAAGTTACTTACCGTAACAAGAAGTATCATCATTGAGGAGAGCTCTTTGAGTTTTTCTAGTCGTGCTATTATCGAGGGAAATACTTTGGGCCATTTTGATCATATTGTCATCAAATGGAGTGCTTTGGGCTATTTTGATTGTGTTATCATTGAAAGAAGTACTTCAGGTCATTTTTATCATGTTATCATCAAAGGGTGCATTCTGGACTATGTTAGTCATTTGTTATCGAAGGGAGTGCTTTGGGTCATTTCAGTCACATTATCGTTGAAGGGAGTGCTTTGGGTCATTTCAGTCACATTATCGTTGAAGGGAGCGCTTTGACAATAATGATAATAGTAAGTGAAAGTGGAGCGGATTATTGATTAAATAGTAGGTGGTTGATCATCACATTAGAGAATAGGCGACAAAAAGAAATAGATTTAGGAATCAAGAATATATAATTTTTAGAGGATCCAAAAGTTGGGTTTAGAAAAAGAGGATCCTCTTAGTTTGTCCAAGAGGGGCTCATAGGATTTTCTTAAGACATGTCGAGAAGGCCTTTCCTTTAGTGCCAATATATTAATGTAGATTTTGGTTGTCTAATCAAGGCATTGATTTGGAGCCAACCAATGTCATATTCCACTCTTGTCTCAAACTAGTACGAGGAAGTGTTGAACCCACTCGATTCGTAATGCAATGAATCCTATAAATTATATCGGGGGTGTGCTTGACAAAACTCCTTTGATACTTAAGTTATTTGTGGTTATGAGGTGCTAACTAAATGTCATGTCCTTTGATGTTGAATGTATAAGAACTTGTGTATTAAAGAGTTAGGGAATGCACCCAAGGGATCATTTATAATGTAGTTTTAGGACTATTACACTCAAAGATGTGCATTATTATTGGGGATAGTTATTCACTTTTGTTAGTCCTAGGTGATATCACACAATACGAAGTCTAAAAATATATAGCAATCATGGATGTGATTGTAATGCCCAAAGAATAAGATTGTGTTGACCACATACTATCAAGGTGTTAACAACGTGATATCGAGCTCTAGCCATACAGTGCTAAGTATTAGATAGTAGTGTTAAGGTATTAGCTACGTAATACTAGGGTATCAACCATATAGTAAGTAGGTATTAGCCATGTCATCATTTCCATATCATTTGCCCCCATTTGATGGGTGTAGTAGAGTCAAGGCATGAAATGAGTCTTGTCTGTTAGTTAATACTAAAAAAGAGACTAATTCACACTCCTATCAACAATGTGAGTTTATTAAGTTGATTCGATAGTATAATTATTAAGAAGAGCACTTTGGGCTATTTTTATCATCAAAAGGAATATTTTGGACCGTTTTGATCATATTATTATTCAAGGAAACACTTTAAGATATTTTGATCATATTGTCGTTAAAGGGAGAGCTTTGGTTCATTTCGATTGTATTATTGTTAAAGAGTATGATTTAAATCATTTTAGTCATACTATCATCGAAGGAAATACTTCGGGCTATTTTGATCATGTTTGTCATTGAATGGAGCACATCATAGGAATGATGATGGTAGAAAAAAGTGGAACGGTTTATTGATTAAATAGAAAGTAGTTGATTATCACTATATCAAGGTTGAATTTGTCGAATATCTTTAAATTATATAGCCATAAACCTTAGGGAATCAACTCTTCTTAGATTTTCTAGATGAAAATAGACTGGTTATTTATGTCAACATTGTTACCTCTTTGCCAAGTTAAAATTCCAAACGTATGTCTTTCAATCAGTAGTCAATCTTCTAAAGTTGAGTATCTAATGTAACATTTGATTCGCTCATCGATTGTCCATCGGTGAAACAAATTAGGGATGATGTGAGATATATACTTCTTTCGTGGGAGATGATGGGGTGGTTAAATCAATCAATGCTAGTGCTGATATAGTGCATGTGAGACACAATCTAATTTGACTATGATATAATGCACGTGAGACATAATCTAGTAGTGACTTATACCTTAATAGCAATTGTCATGATAATGATTGATTGGATAATTAATATATTAAATTTTTTTAAGCCTAACCATAGTTTAAAATGTTTAAGCCTAAGTTAACAATATTACACTATCATACATACTCGTATAAGTCAACCTAAGTTTTTATCTACTTTCAATATTACACTTCAATTTGCAGGCCCTACAACAGATGATGGCATCACCTGGGTAACCATGGCTCTGCCATTTATGAATGCCAAGTAGTAAATGACCCACCAAGAATAACCCCATGAATTATGACAATGGCAGAAGCAGTGGAGTCATTTGATTGAATGACCCAAGAAAACAGCAAAGCCATCTACTTGGAACACCATACAATTCTTACCAACTTAGGAGAGAATGTTAAAGACCATATGAAAGTATTGGAGGAAAGCATAACTGGGAAAGTTGGAGATCTGAAACAAAAGCATCATACTGGATGGCAGATTGATACCTGCTCAACTTGGACCTTAGCTTGCAAATCCTGGGAGTCTCAGAAATCAAGCAAGAAGGGCAAATGATGCTGCATTGATGAAGATGACTTCTTCCTGCCTGAATGCCACAAATATACTATTTTGCCTGTCAAAAACTCAAGAAGCATTATGCCTCAGAAATCTCATGATCAGTATGAAAGTAAAAGAAGTCGGTTATAAGACTGAGAACCTGAGTTATGCAATGAGAAGCCGATACCTGTACAGAGTGAATGAACTCTTGCCACAAATCATATTACAGCTTTTTCCATTACAAAAATAAACATTGGTAAGTCTTTACTAGATTATTGATTACAGAGCTCTCAAATGGCAATGGGACTGGCATGAACCCAGAAGACAAAGCCAGAATATATTCGCATGTTTAAAATACATAATAAGTGGTGAACTCAAATAACCTAGGCCAGTATCTAGCTTGTCAACATGATTAAAAAGAGAAAAAGAAATAAAATATACATGGTAAAAAGAAGCTTCTTCGCCAGCCCTATATATCAGGCTAACCAAGAAAAAAAAATAGTATGATTAAAAAATGAAAGAGGATGAGGGTGCATTCTTTTTTGTCTTCATACATCAAGTGGGCATTCCTGTCCCTTCAGGATCAGTATACTTGCACCTTGTGCTACAAATCCAGGGCATGCTAATTGGCAGGCAATCTATCAAAATCGAGTGCTGCCCTTGTCTTTCTGAGTTTCCTTGGTGGCATGAGCACCAGCTAGCTGTTCTGATTGAGCAGGATTTTGTGCCTTTACTGGAACCTGCTTCTTTCGCTTTAGGTGGCCTACAGCAGCAGGATCGATCAATGGTCCAGACCAAGCAGTCAAAGGCCCCTTCTGGTATGGAAACACTGTGCTGAATGAAGCTTCTGAGTGACCGAATGAAGGATCAATACGAAGTGAAGAATCTAATTGGTGTCCAACTGCACCATCTTGATGTGGTGGAGGAAACTTTTCACTCTTGCTCTTTGCATTTGCATGTGTAATAAGACGCCTTCTCTGCTAGAAACAAAGAAACAATTAATATTAATCATGCACAATAAGATATACAGCCATTGTACAACATTGCAGCTAGAGAACATACAGGGTATAAATAGAGCCACTTGGAAAATGATCATCCAGGATACCACTGATGTACTACCGTATAATTAAACAAAGCGAGAAAGGCAGTTCAGGAGCAGTATGTTTTGGGCTTGTATTTAACAGTTACAGTAGAAATTAGCTATTATTAGAGCTAACAAAGGTGACAAGCAGTGGGAATGACAAAGAACTTCTAACAAGCTTCCTCGTAATATCTAAAAACCTCAAGCAGTGATCTGGCAACTATGACCAACAAAGCTCAACATACACAATTAGACTGTCACCTTTTCCTTGCAAGTTTTCCCAATAGATATGGTGTTTCCATTTGATGAATAGAACAAAGAAAATTCTTCAGTTCTTTTTAAGGTCCCAGTCACGTATAGAGGTGAATGAGTGAAGGCATAGAGCCTATCAGACAGTCATGCAACTAAAACCAAATCTTTTTATGGTAAGCATGCTATTTATTGATTCCCATGGGCTACTCATTAAGAAACAGCTCTCAATGTTGGTCAAATATAATGTACACAATATCCTAACCAAGTATACATGGTTTAACTGTAGCCTAATAATATAACTGGTACATCAGCCCACACAGAGGGCCCATGGATTGCTGCAACATCAATAATTTGCCTATTAGATAACTAATCTATTGCTTATACCAACATGTTTTTCATTCTAAAGTTGTTTGAGCATGTTGTGTGCAAGGGCTACAGTAGTGTGGGACACAGCTTTCTGCTGACAAATTGGAATGATACAACTCTTGTGTCAATATAATTGAATAAACTCCAATCAAAATTGGGCCTAAATAAGTTGTATAAGGTGACCATTTTTGTGCATTTCCAGTCATAACTAAAAAGAACCAGGATGAGTAATTTAAAAACTCAGGATCTGTGCCTGTTATAGACCAACCACTTTTTGTCGACATAGTTTCTCTTGGATACATACCCAATAATACCTCAATTTCTCCAAGTATGATTTCCATTCTTCGTGTCATTCTCACCTCAGGCAAGTATAGATTTATTTATTATTTATTTTTAAGGCCTTCTTGCACAGGTGTCATGCTGAAATTTGAAACCTTATCATAGAAAATTGCATAGAGGTCTGTTTATGTGGGCCCACTATGCAATGTGCTAGTATTGTACCACCCAACAAGTATTAGTATATTGGAGATCAATTAATAGTAAAAAACAAATTATAATAATTCTTCAGTAGATTCCGTTGTAAATTTCTAAAAAACTGATTTGATGTTGTGGTCACCTGAACTGCCAAACAATAAAGACAATTGCATAGCCCATGGCAACTTCCTGCTTAGGTGGCAGGGTAAGACTGGTTTATCCAAAGGGGACACAGATTATTTACATGCAAGTGAATCATAACAGCCATTAATGGTCACATTTCAGTGATGCAAATGCTTTTTCCATGTCTAAACTGAATCCGATCCCATTAACGAAGCAAGACCAATGTCAGGAAATCTAAGCCAAGGATTATCATACTGGCAACACCAAGGGTTGCTTTGGTGGCAGCACAGGATTTTTGGCACCAAGAGTGTACCCATACTATTAGATTGGCTTGCATCAGTCAGCACAAGGCCCATGCAACACCATGCCAATATGCATGAACCAGTCCACATGAGCCTAAATACCAGTACATGAAATGACAATCCCTGATTAAAGCTAATATCGACACATATAATGCTAACAGTTCAGATGGAGTCGATGGAAAAAATAAATGAATAGTAATAAGTAGCAATCATAAAAGCTTGACATACATCAATGTTTACTTGGAGTTCAGCATTAGCCTCGGGTGCAGGAACTGCTCTAGAAGCTCGATCACGTGAGCGCATCTTCTTTGATTCATTGACATTGGCCTTACCACCAGCGGTCCTCAACCTACATTAGTGGATTTGATTACATAAGAGAAATGTGCCAGAAATAATTGGAAATGCTTTATAGTTGAATGCAATCCATGAGTATTTCCAGTTTCAAACATATACATGTTGAACATGCACCCCAACAGTACCATTATATTAAAAAAATCCAATAATGTAAAACAATGCACTAGTAAATAAAAAGCTTCTGCTTAAAGAACTACAGTATTCATGCACTTGGCATTTAAGGAAAACAAAAACAACATAAATGATCAGCTGAACATTATTTTAGTACTGCAAAATTTGAGTTCAATGTGATGCTCCACGCACATGTTTCATGAACCAAGCATCACAATCAACCACAGAACACTGAGACTATGTAAAGGTCATAATAACATATTATTGTTCAGAATGACAATGCATCAATGAAACTCCACCTCACCTCTCAAAACACACACACCAACAGGAAAAAAAACCTACCTAAAAGAAAAAAAAAGAGTAACAAAGATGGGTTGCACCAAATTGCTAAAATAGTGACTCTTATGCACATAACACAAACCAATAGGGTATTAATCATATACCTTCTAGCTTCATCCCTCAGTTTAGCATCCATCTCCTTGCTTGGAGGGTATTTTGGAAGGCTTGAAGGATCACATGCGAATGGTGCAGTATTAAAAAACTGCAGAACAAACAAAAGATTAAGTTAGCAAGCTAGATGCCATGTTCATGTCAAGAAAATAGCTTAGCGAGATTTTTTTTAGAAGAAATTAATAAAAGATACAATGTTCATGTCAACAAAGTAGCTTAGCAAGATTTTTTTTAGAACAGATTAATAAGGATTGTTAAAAATTAAAACATCTACAACAAAAATACATGGGACTAATGAACTTATTTGAATTTCGGAGATCTTCACATCTTAATCCCAACATGGAACCATAAACCAAGATGGTGAATAACTTTTACCCATTGCAACTTTCAGTTATGATGTTTGTTCCTCCTATTTAAAAAAAAAAAAACATATACAGCCACAACTTGCTGAGAAGTTGAAGAACAAACATTGAATTGTGACAAAAAAAGTCTTCTGCAGCATGTAAGTAACATCCCATAAGGTTGTAGGACATATCAGGAGAACTAATTGGTAGTAATTAGTAAATAGACTTTGTACACTTCAATCATGGATACTATCTGATGAGAGCTCTGATAGCTCATTATGGTGCCAGTAGGCGAAAACCAATGCACGGGATCTTGATGGTAATAACATTCATGTCTATGGGGTCGAAAACAAAGGGTAAAACCTATCATTTGCTGCAAGCAAGACAGCAGATATGAGGGACTGGTGAAATATGTAAATGGGCTTGTCAAACTCTAGCACTCTTCAAGGGGGTCTTCTTTAAATAAAGGGAAATTTTCTTGGATATAGGTTACATAACAGAACCAATATGTCTATGTCCATGAATTTATCTATTAGGTTCTTTATATAAGAGATATAATAACAGATCATTTCAGATCATCACATTAGACCAAAGCCCAAAAACTATCAGAATACTCTCTATTGACATTTGTCATATCAACTTAACCTAAAATCATTTGAACCAAAAATATGGTGAATATAAGGTAAACCTTTTTTGTTTGCACCTTGTCCTTTGTTAACATGCTATACGAAATTAAGATGAATATCTGAGAAGGATAGAACTGACCAACTGAAAAACATATTAACCTAAAGCCTTGTTGTACATACTTTCAACTGTGAATTAACCAATAATGATATATACAAGGGATTAACACCAAAAAGCTGAAATTATGACTTTATGTAGGTGCAAGTCATCATCCCGATGCAAAAGATAACAAAAATATGAATTGAAAGAATGCAATCAATCAAGATCAACTGAGATGCATGTCACACAGTTAATGCAAAGGTTCCATATAACAGAATTGAGACAATGTTTGGCCAGTAAGCAAAGAAAAACAGGCAAATAACACTCTGGATAACAATATAAAAAATCAGTCGTCTGCACAACTATAAGTGGCATAAAACCATAATTATAAAGGCCTAGTTCCTGAAATTAAGATCCATGCAATATCCTCAATATATGTTTAAAAGTCATGCCATCTCTAATTTGAAAACATAACAGAATCATATTATAAAACTCATTTAATAAGAAAATTGGTTTGAAAAATAAATTTTACCTCACTATTTAAAGCTGCTGTGGCAGTTTGGCGATCAGTCGGTTCAATTGCAAGAAGAGTTTCGATTAATGCCAAGGATGATGGTGAAAAATCTTTAAATGTTTCTCGGAGGCAACGCTTGTAAGGCTGCTGGGGTTTAAAAATTGTAGCATGTGGTAACTTTGACTTCTTCCAGTATTCCTCCGAAGGAGAGCCACATAATTTGAAAATTTTGTGTAGTTGTTCAACCTAATAATCAAAAGAATATTCATTATGTGAAATAAATAAGGCCACAGTATCGATTTTAATTAAATTATGGAATATAAAGCATAAACAATATCTGTAACTTCCTATTAGTATCCATGTGTACATATTCAGTCACACTACCTTGCAGCTAAAAATTATACTGCAGTTCCTCCAATGCATTTATGGCAGAATGGGAACTCATATGTAACAAGGTGCACAGATCTTCCATACATATTCCTTGCGATTTGTCATAACCAAATTTAATATTAATATAAAAAATAATTGTATACCTTATTTTAGTTTCTTATTCTACCGATTGTTGCATAATGGATTCGAGTATCATATCAGGTCGATCACTTACCAGAACACAATCCACCGAATTGTGTTAAAGGACACTGATGCTTCAACAAAATACCTATACATTTTTCAGGATGTACTGCATATACCTTACTGGTAAAAGGGGGCCACTACAAAGTCAGTACCAGAGATATACTTTCTCGGTCCAAAAACTTTGCAACTAATGAGAGGCCACTTCTGATATGGATATGTTCCATCCAGGAATGCTGATACTCAAGATAAGCTTATACCACCAAAAGAACACCGAAGACCCTTGCTGAAAGTATCTAGGAAGCACCACCAATATACGAACACCATAAAGCAACAATTCAGAAGTTCCAAAACCTACCTCGGTCCTGCCAGGCATAATAGGCTTTTTAGCTAACAGTTCTGCTAATATACAGCCAGCACTCCATAGGTCTACGCCCACACTGTAGTCAGTGGCCCCTAATAGCAGTTCCGGTGGTCGATACCAAAGAGTGACCACCCGGCTAGTCATTGGATGCTTGCAGTTAGGATCAAAGAAAGTAGCCAAGCCAAAGTCCGCAATCTTGAGCAACCCCTTGTTGTCAAGTAGGAGATTTGAACCCTTAATATCACGGTGCAGCACACAATTGTTATGACAGTGCTCCAATCCCGACAACAGTTGATGCATGTAACACTTCACCTGATCAAAACAAAAGATTCAGTAAGGATTCTGAAGAGAGGCAACATCTGAATGTTGAAACTAGTAAGAATCTAACCTGGGGCTGTGTAAACTCTATCGTAGGGTCAGCTGCAAGACCAGCAAGATCATGCTCCATGTACTCGAAGACTAAATACAAGCTACAAGACATCCTGGATGTCACCAAACCCTCTAGCTTCACGACATTGGGGTGATCCAAGTGCCGCAATATATTGATCTCCCTTGCCATAAATTTCACACTCTCCGGCTCCATCGTATCAAACCTGACCTTCTTTAACGCAACGATTTTGCCAGTCAAAATGTCCTTAGCCTTGTAAACATTACTATACGTCCCTTGCCCAATCTAAATCAGAACAAGAACCCATCTTTAGTACCAGAACCAACAAAAGATGAAGGAAAAAAGAGATGCTCCAAGCACAAAGACGAATCTTGCCTTATCGATCTTCTCGAACGTATCAGCTCGGCGGGGCGTCCAACCCTTGATGGCCTCCCCGGCGGCGCGGGAGAGCCAGGCGGGCCACCCGGCAGCCACCTGCTCGCCATGGACATGGCCGGGGAGGTTGCTCAGCCTCGGGTCTGGCCTCGGCCGGCGCCGACGTGGCAGCCTCTCCACGGGCGGCCGTTCCGTGTCCTCAACCCGGACGGCGGCGTCGGGCGCATCAGCGACGGTCTCGACCGTAGGTATGGAGGCCTGGGACTTGCGGCCTGAGGCGACGTGGGCGGGTCCGGAGGGCCGCTCCTTCTCCCGGCGGCGAGAGAGGTCAACGGAGGCGGGGCTGGGACGAGCGGAGGCCTGTTTGGCGAAGACGCAACCCATGGCTCAGCTCATCGCAACCTTGAGTGAAGGGTGGGTTGGAGCTCGGAGGCGTGATCGGCGGCGTGCGGACCTCCGGTCCGGCAAGGCGGGACGATCGAGGACAGCGGATTTAGGGTTCGCCGTCGTCTTCTCCGAGGCTATCAGACAATTACGGGGTTGGAGAAGAGCAGCAAGCGGTAAAAATAAAAGGACTGCTCGAGGCGGTGACGAGATAGCTGGCGGTAAGGTGTTTCGCGGAGGGTAATAACGACAGGAGAGAGGAGAGCCAAAGGGGGGGGGTTATCCAGGTACCGGGCGGTAAGGTCTTTCGCTCCGAGCAATGACAACAAGAGACAAAGGAGAGGAGAATAGGGAAGCTAAGGATTAATGTAGTGTAGAGAACATGGAGTGGGAAGAAAGGTGAAAGGCAAAGTTGTGTATGATTGGATTAGATCTATTGGTGGTTGAATATTAGATTATTTTAAGGCATACAAATATATAATAGATAGATAGATATATGAGGTGGTCAAAGATGGAGTTGGAATGGTGGCAACTATATTGTGGTGGTTGGGCCCCACAAGAGTGTGGGGGGAATTGGAGTTGGAAAGTTTGACCAAATCGGTGATTTGGTGAGCGTGAATCTCAAAGTGTTAAATGGGCACATAGGCATGGGGCTAAATTCTTTGTACATGGGCCGTGGATGGATTTAATGAGGACTCGCATCCATCCATGGCCATACATACATACTCATCATGCATTTCAACCTTGGAATACATTCATTCACATGACAAGCTTGCCATTAGCAATTTGTAACTTTCTTACTATTGACAATCTCTAAAAAAATAATCATGATAATAATATTTTATTTATTTTATAATTTTTAATTATAAATATTATCCTTTTTTTTTTATAACCCTTTAATATTGATGACGGTTCTATTTATTTATGTTCATTTATAGAGAGATATTTTAAAAATATTAAAATTAGGTTTAAATAGTAAATTTTGATTACAAATATAAATCTCCTTTACATAAATATAAAATTTAAATTAGATTGAATGTATTGGTTAGTTTAGTTGATAAAAGCATTGATTGGATCATTACAATATTTTTGGGATCAAATCTCACATTTATTACTTATCCTAAAAAGAAAATCAAATCAGATTGATCAATTGGCATGAAAAAAATTGAATATTGATTTTTTTTATCAATTCGATTCATTGATTAAATTATTTGAACCTTGAAAAATTCAAATACCCTCAACTTTATCCATTCTAAAAAATTTCAAAGGTATTTAAATCTGTTTTATTATAAGGATAAAAAAAAGTCACTCTCTTATCCCCACAACATATATATTGTTTTATCATCATCTATACTACTCTCTATCACTATAAAAATAAAAATTATTAACATATGTTCTATATTTATTAATATACCATATAATTATATATATATATATGTATACATATATATTTATACATACATACATATATACATATATACATACATACATACATACATACATTGGTGGTCGATCATTTTTAAGAAAACGATAAAATTTTCATTACATCAAATGATATACATGATGCTCATATATAGATTTAAACAAACTATCAATTGTACAACATCACACTAACCAAATCGGATATCTCAAGATGAGACATCCTAATAATATTTGTCTATACAAAGGCATCCTAGTAATTGAAGCATTTTGAATTCCATGACCATCTTCTAGTATGCATGATTTCAATATAGCAATAAACAAAATAAAAAAAAAAATCTTTGGTCTTTTTAGCCCAGTTGATAATTACCCGACTTAACTTGATCAATAGAAAACAAATATGCATCAAGGAATATTCTGAACATTTAACTAAATAATGATTCATCTGCATGGAATTCTTAGCAAAATAATTTGGTTTTTCACTTCCTTCCTGTTGCTTTTTCCATAATATCTCGACAAGCTGATGATAATTTCATCACTTCTCATGTTGAACTTTCACCATTCAGGATGCAGCTTCCCTTTCAGTTACAGTTATGAAGAAGCTTCAGGTTCAAATTTTCTGCAATTTTTGAAGATCAGTTCTTACGATATAATATCTCCATATGACGTAATTTTTCTTTCTATCCATCTGTTAGATCAATGATCTGGATCATGATTCTTGTTTCATGATGTTGCTACCATATCCTGATGTCCATCATGCAGGCAAGTGATGATTGCCTTCTGAAGAATAAAACACTGTTTTGTGCATGTAGCTCAGATATTTCGATCGGGAACTGTTGGTCCTCTGGGGAAGAGGATGAGCAACTCAAAAATACTTGTGCAGAAATTGGATGGCAACCAAACTTCACAAGCTTTGCTCAGTTCCTTCCTCAGGCTACCAGACAGCCTTGGCTTTGTTTTCTTGTCCCCTGGCTTTGCTGAAATTTTCAATCAAGACAAGGTTATGCAAGTGCCCTAACAACAATCTTTTCAGCTAGCCAAAATGAAGAAAGAAAGAAACAGTGACTTGCGTGTATACTTGTATAGTACAATTTCTCCATTACAAAGGTTTAAGTATTTAGTTCATAATGGCCAAATGACAAGTTTGTGGATCAGTATATTAGTTGAACTTTAATTTAAAAAATGTATCCTACACACAATGGGAGTAAATAAGATCGTCCAAATTCTCTTCACATATTATGCCAAGCAGCGATGATTTCCCAACGTCTAATTTGTTCCTCAAGAAAGAAGATAGTAGTTGCATTTTGTGACATTACATAAAAGATAGTTGATGAAGACCAGATCCTTCAAAGATACTTAGCTGCCCAATGAGCATAAGAGATGTCATTACTGATTATGCCAGAGATCACAAGTCACATCAATCATATAAAAGAAACCAGGTTTAAACAGTAACTTGAATAATAATTTGATAAATCCCCCTTTTGTTTAATGATGTGTTCATGCCAAGGTTGAGATCCTGAGGTCAACTACCATGATTGATAGTTGAGATACTGAGGTCAACTATAATGATTTATACAATATCCTCATTCTCTAAGACCCAATGGATTGAATAATCTCCTGAGTAGTAAAAAATGATTGACAAGTTCCACATGAATCATTTTCAAACTTCAACTACCAAATGCCAAATTCTTATACTTTCCTTTATTTAAAGCATGCAACTAAAGCATCGAAAAACATTTCACAATCAAAACTCAAAATGGAGAGAGAGTCAAACCTTTGGATATATTGTCTTCTCTTTTTCTTCTAACAGACGACTATTTGTTGCTTGTGTGAAGGGACATAGTGACATTTAGCCAATTCATAGAAGTTGACCAACAGAAGATTCCTTCATAAAAGAGAGGACAATGAGAAGCCATTAATTCTGCACACCGCAAGCAGCAGTGAGGTCCCAACAAGCCATCATTTTCTTCTCTGCCTTCCTCTTCTCCCTTTTTCCCTCCACCACAATGAGGTGTTGCTGCTGCCTGGGATCATCTCATAATGGGGTGATGCCATCACACTCCTTTTGGTTCTGATCATTGCATTGATGATTATAGCCATCTGCTACAGTTCACCGCCATGACATGCCATCTTAGTGTATCGCTGCTGAATAATGGCTTTCTTCACTGCCCATTTCCAACAAGAACTGTTTGTTTGTATCTGAACTCAGTTGTCCTCCCTTCCATTCCTCTGCTTTGTTGTTGTAAAGACTTGTACCTGAGATCACTGTATCTGCATAACTTCATGTTAGCAATGCTATGCCTTTGTAAAACATGATATTCTTACATCAAAAAACTTTCAACACAGATGAGGAACAGCATAATCACATGATTTCCTGCAGAACGTAAGCAAATTATGAGTGCAGATCAAACTACCTGAGCTGACAATCATACCAGTCTGTTGATCTGAGAAAAGACGAGCTTCACTCAGGAGCAAATTTTGTACAAAACCATCTAAGCTTTCTCACACAAGCATTAGGAATTTAACATTCTGCAAACAAGCATTTTCAAACTGCATATCAGTGCAACGATTGCACCAAGAAAACAAAGCAAGAATCCAAATGTATTACATGATGACTTGGAAGACATGCTGAGGCAATCAAAGTTGGCCTACTGCTACAGATCAGCTGTGTATGCTGATTTCAATAGAATTAGATTGAAGAAAAGATTCCAAGGTTACCATGTGCCACATTAGCTTTAAGGAAAAAATGGGATAGACCAACAAGAGTGTTGTAAGTATATCCTTTTCTTTACAAACAAGTGCATTTGGAGATAACAACAAAAGAAAGTGCATAGAGAACCAGAAAACAATCAAATTAAAAGGAAAACCTTCTGGGGAAGAGCCACAATTAGGTATGAACAGTTTTTAACTCACAAAAGCACTAATTAACTTTCTCAAATTTACCTGTATAATGAAGCCAACATAACTTGATTGCTGCAACCAGCAACCAGTTAGCTACTGATGAGAATTTTGACCCAGTCACTTAAAGTTCCAGGCTTCTTAGCAGTCATCAGATAAGAAACAAAGTGCACCCAAACAAAGCTCAAGAGGCTTTGAATTCAATTTCCAAAAGCATGATAAAAAGAAAAATCTAGAAAAGTGTTGGCTAAATGGTGAGAAATTCCGACCAAGAGACTTCCTACCTAATATTTGGCATCTTTGCTCGTTAAGAATCTAAGTGTTGAGTAGTTAAGAAACAATATATACAAAAAGTTTATCTTTTTTAGATGAATATGTAAAGTTACTAAGAAAGATAGAAAAAGAAATACTTTTATTTGTGAACAACTAGGTATTACCTCGATAGAGGACAAGATCGTTTAAGATGATATGAGCATATGCTTAGGAGACCTCCGAATGTAATAGTCAGAAGTGGTGAAATGATTAATGTTAGTGATATGAGGAGATGTGGAGGAAGACCTAAAAAGACCCTATCAATTTGAAAATCTACTTTCTAAGCAATTCCTTCTAAAACCTTGGAAAAGTTGTAGTGATAGTAGGGAGGTCTGTCAAGTGGTTTATAAAATATAACAATAACCAATATATATGGCAACTTGTCAAATAGGAACATAAAGGCCTCACTTGGCATCAACCAGCATAATAAAAAAATTGAGTTGAGAAGTTTCCATTCTGTATCAGCAGTCTTGGGTGAAACATATCTATATGTAAGACGAGGATGTGAACTTATGTACTGCAAGACAGAAATTATCTGCTGATCATTCCCAATATCAATAGTTAACTGTTGTTCATTCAAATCACTGGCCCTCCAAATTTGGTTCAGACAATTGTCATTTATTACTTAATATCCCCACACTGCCTGTTGGGACTAATGAGAAACTGTTGTAATGCAATTACTGATTGAAACTCTGAATTGTCACTATATTAATGCTTCAGTTAGCTATCAGAAGCAGTCACCAGCAGTGGAATCACCAAAATTTACTCAAAATAATAAAATGTTTCATAATAGTTGTAGCCAAAATAGTGACATTTCTAGGACAGACTTTTATATTGAAATATAGCAAATCAATTCTCAAAACCTTCAGTTTTATGAAGGCAGAAAAATTAGCTTTATTATCAAACTTCTCCTATAATTGATCAAAACCTTCAAATTTTTTAACATCGTCGATGCTTCTTGATTTACACAGTTTGCAACCCTGTAACCTATGCAGTTGAAGATCTGAGTAAAAATGTCTCTGTATTGCATATTGGTTTAGGAAAGTCATCTTTATCATGGATCAAATGTGGGGACTTCAGCGGAATAACCCCAAGAAGCCTGATACAGAGTCCGCTGTGTGATGTTCCTGTATGGATCTTCCTCCCTTTTTCTCTTCAAGTATGAGATTATGCGCTCAATCTCTGACTTGATCTGCAGATATAGAACATTTGCATTCTTTCTATGCTTCAGAATGTCCATTCCTCGTGTTTCAATTGGTTTTCCGAATAGATAATATAAACGACCAGGTAATTTTGGAAGAAGTCCAGGAAAATACAATTGCTGGTTTGAAATATCGTCATCAACACCAACCCTACAAGCATAAGTAACCCCTCGAGCATGAAACTCTATTATATAAGCAGCCACATCTATAGGCTATGTTTCACGAGAATAAGACTATATACAAAATGTAAACATTCTCATTATGTGAATTAGAAAATGTACCTTATCTTCCCAACATCTTGATTCATTTCTTCTATCCACTCTTTAATGAATGGAATGTTCTTCTGATCATCATAATCAAGAACCAACTACCAAGTGCAATACGCAAGTCATTATTTAACCAGCACATGAAGAACCATGATAACAATACAAAAATCGGAATGTTTGCAAGGCATACAAAGGCAAAAGAGGGAAAATTGCCAATCGGAAATAGCAAAGAGTAGTCTGGACAGAATCCCAATAAAGAAAACTAGATTAAGAATGGTTGCTGATATGAAATGTTGAAAATGTTGAACCCCCTATCCAAAAATAGCACATATTTTCCACAATAACATATGAAAACCACTATATCATAATCAAAACTTGAAGGAGGTTTCTAGAATTACTAGGAAATTTTAAAGATAATTCTAGTAAGTTAATAGCCAACAGAACATTAGTTAGCCAATAACCATTTTGCTTAAGCAAGGCCATCATACCTTGTGAAGCAACACAAGACGAAGGTAGGCAAATTACTTCCTCTGTCATAGGAAAAAGTTAAGAGTGTTAAAAGAAAGAAATTAAATGCTACAATGACCAGAAGATTATTGGGCCAATTTATTTTTTCTATTGATCAAACTCATGAAGCAGTTTTTATGACCATGGTTCCAAATACCACCCAAACTGATATATACAAGCCCAGACTAAGTGGTCCAAGGCTGAATTGCCGATGTGAGCCAAGGTTTTCAAACACTATGGTCTAGTAAGTAGATCACCGCTTGGTAACCTACATAAACCGAATAGTAAGCCTGGTCTAGAATTATTATTATTTGTTTAATTTAGGGTTAGAGTTTAATAGTGTTATCAAAGGCTAGGCACTAAACGACATCAAGTTTCGAAATGCCTAAGGCCCCAAGTGCTCGCGTGAATGAAGATAGGTGCTCACCAATATAAAAATTATAAATTATAATTAAGGAGAAAGATAATCATTAAAATAAAAATCATAAAAAAATATATAATTAGGGAGAGCTAAGAGAGGAGAGGAGGTACTGCCATTATGGCCTACGAGAGGGAAGGCACCGCCATGCTAGGAGAATGTCGATCTTCGCTTGCCAACTGGCTTGCACACAAGAGGGTTGCTCAATCTTCCATCAGCCAACTTTCATGCAATGGGGTCAAATGACTAGGGTTTTCCAATGTGAGGTGGTAACTTATTTACAACATTTAACCCATTCAATTGAATTGGGTTCAACTCAGGTTGCGACTAGGTTCGAGCGCATGATCGATGCGCCCAACACCCAGGCTCAGTAGCAAACTTAGAATTGCCCTCCTCGGTTGGATCAAAGGTGCTCGGGCCTTGCCTCACCTCATCTGGGCACCTAGGCAAGCACTTAATGATATTTATAGTCTTGAATACCTCTCTCAATTGGAAAGAAAATTTTGCCTTGCATCCTATTACTCATGGCACTCATTGTCGCCAGCCCATCTGCCCATCACCACTAACTCATCCAATACTTTTCTTCCCTTGCCTCTTCCTTATCCTCTTCCTCCTATTCATGTCTCCTTCTCCTCCTTTTTTTCTTATCCTTCTCCTTCCCCTCCTCCTCGTTCCTCGGTGCTGGTCAGTATGCCAGCATATCAATACATATTGGACCCACAACAGTTCTACTAGGGACCGGAATGGGTTCGGCAATCCATTGATCTAAGGTTGTAACCAGTTAATCTATTATCTCACATGAAAAGTGAAGCTCAAAGGCAGTTCTCCATGATCTCAAAGTCTAAGCTGTTTTTATGCTGCTCAGGATTAATGGTAAGAGATCTCAGTGATAGATAAGTGACCTCACTGGTATATGCTCATCAGGACTAAGAAGCCAGAAAGATAATTGATATACATATTCATACATCAACTAAATTCAAAGATTCTATGAGATTAAGTAACAACAAACATAGGGGGTAGAATCATACAAATGCATGTTTTAAGTAGGCTAGTAGTCACCTATCATGAATGAAAAAATAATTGGAAGATGGAACTATGATCTTCAGCACAAGGATGGTGAACTGAATAAATAAATATTTAAATACAGGATACCATGTCACTATTTCTTAAACTTTGGTGCAAATTGTAATTAGGTCAATAATGACTAAACCAATTTGTATCATGATTAAGTCGCAATGAAAATTTTCTGCCATATTGATGGAAAAACTCATCTGGTTGCATGATGGACATGACTTGCCAACCTGACAGAACAATTTGTCCAACACGCCCTTTATATTGCAGAACTGATGTAAAGGCATATTTAACCTGACTTGTTTTAATTTGCCAACCGTTATAGCCTTATAGGCATGTAAGACAACTTTTTCTGTTTACATTTATATTGTGCAACAAGATCAGCCTTTAGTCAAGATAAATGACAAGCTTATTACAAGAACTGATTGAAGCATTAATTCAAATTTAAGAGATATGACTAATCAATATAATACAGTGCTTCTATGAATCTCTATCCTCAGAAATAGAATTAATAGCTTTTCTAGGATCTAATGTTGCTAGAAAGAATGGGTGAGTGCTCTGTGCCATGCTTATTGTACTATGCTGACCCATATATGCTGATGAACATAGGTTGCAATTATTTTGCTGTCATTGTTACATCAAGAGGCATGATAATTCTTGGCTAAAATAAAGACTATATTTTATCTTTTTCTTTGCTCAACTTTATAAAAACTTGTTCTAAATTCCTAAGCATATTAGGACTCTGACATCCTCACCTGCAAGCCAAATGGACTAATAGGCTTGACATATGAACTCAAGTCGAAGACCTATAGACCTTGTACAGAGTGGCATACATAATACCCAGCATTTTGGGCAATCCAGTGACTCAATAGATGCACTTAAAATCAGCTGGATAGTTCATACCAACCAGTATTTAGTAGTCCACACATGAACAAGGACACCATCATGTACTTAGCTAGGATTGCTAAGTCATATGATACCCCTGTGACAATTGCTCACAACTCACAAGGGTCAACCTAGATCTTAACCTTGTATAGTCCAAGAAGGACCTATACAGAAAATGGAAAAAAAAAATTAAAATGATGAATGCAAGGTAAGATCTTGCCATCACCCAAAAAACATGAGAAAACTGAGACCACAAGTAATATAAAGACACTAGATTTTATACGCACACAAAGGGCTTCAAAGGTAGACAGACATAGGCCCAATGTTCAATTAGCACTTGCATCAAATAGAAAACAAGCTCACAAAGGTGTTGTGTCACCTCTCAAACATATAATCAAGGTCTCATCTCCTGGTATGTTACACAGGGTTCTTCTCAAACATATAATCAGGGCCTCATGTGGAGGCATTTTTTAGGGATTTTGGCTGGTTTCGGCATCATGTGACGACTGCTCAGCTTGCTCCATATTCAAGATTTACAAGCTATAAACCAAAGCAAAATGGGATTGCCAAGACTAATGCAAACCTGTACAAGCTGCCTAATCAAAAACAAACCAAAATACACTGGCAATACATGAATAAGGGTTATCGTTATTGCATGAGCACCTGCACTGCATGACTGCGGCTGTGGTGTAGTGGAGCTGCAGCAACACCCCATGACAACAGAGACCAACTCTATTGTCTTTTTTTTAATCCCACTCTTAGGGTCGAACATTATGGACTTTAGTAGACCCTAAAGGCGGAAAAGATCATGCAGTCAACAAACAACAAAAAGCAAAATGTCCCAATTATTGGAGACCCTGGATTTTTTTTCAAACATTTAACCACAAAAAAGTTGGAACCAAGTTTTGTCATTGTTGGTTTCAGAATCTTTCCCTTGATGAACCACTAAATTGCCTGACCTGGTAAACATACTCCGTGTAATGAAGCTATAGAAATGAAGCACTCACATCCTTTTCTTGGTGGGGACAAGCACTCTCATAAAGTTTATTGTTTATGAGGAAGTCAGTAATCTCATATTGGTTATTTGTACAGTCATCTCAATGTCTTCTGTTAATCTATAGCAAGAAAATCAGTCGATATGAAGCAGGCAATTCAAACCAGCATAACCATTTGCTCCAAATTACATTTAAAAGAAGCAGCACCTCACATATGCATAATTAAGATGACAAAAGTGACAAAGATTACGATATTAAAGAAGATAATAGCCTACACATAATTAATAAACTAGTTTTGCTGAAACAACAAAGTCAACAGGTTACCTCCACTATGTCATCCTCTCCAACAACCCCAAATGGCACAATTGTGGCCCCAAAGCGAGCAGCCATTCTAACAAATTCAGGATTCTTTGGCCAAAATAACTTATGTTCTTCACCCTGTAGGCATCCATGCATCAACTCAAATGTTAATGAAAATTATCAGCCAATGATAGCATCTATTGAGAGTATAAATGTTAGAATTCAGAAGTATATTCTAATAGAACCTTTTTTTTTTTATAGTAGACTACAAGAATGTTGTAACTTGTAAGTACTTGAAGCCCCATTGGTGTCTGCTGTTCTTTCTTAGACTACTGTAAAATAAAACTTAGTTAAAAGGTTGTAGGATGGAAATACTGTTTAGGACTCTAATCATGATGTATTAAGCAGGCTACTCATTGATGAATCCTCATCAAGAAGACAAAAAGATAATTCACACAGTTGGGCATATTTAACTGTAAATGGTAGTTAGAGTGGGAACTCGCTACCAAAGTTCGTCATACTGTAGCATACCGCTGAGTATGGGTGGTACACACCGGTTTGATACAAAAACAGTATGGGTGGTAGATACTGGTACGTCAATATGCCCCACCACACCATGTGTCATTACATCTGTATGGACAGGTAAGACGAACCATACTCACTACAAGTTCTAATAGTGGTAGGAACTAGAAAGTGAGGCGAAGCAATACTATACTTTCTCATAATTGTTTCGTTTGATTGGCATTTAGTGATAATTAAAAGTAGCTCTCTTTTATTACAACTAAAAGTGGCTTTGAATTTCTAGAAAAGGAATTTGAATTTAAAATTTTATTCACTTACCAAAGCACTAAAATCAACTGCCTCTTTTTCTCCATTTGGAAGTTGAGCTTCTCAATTCCTCAATCATTTTTTTTGGACCAAAGACAAGTGTCACACTTCCTCACTTTCAAGTCCTGGTTTCTTGGAACCACACACGCCTTTGGAGGCACAATTCATCCAATGTATTAACATCAGTAATTTTCATTCTCTCTCCATAGGAAGGCCAAGTAACAAGTTTTGACTGGTTAAAATGTTATATCGAGTTCTAACAATCAAAAGTTAAGCTGATGTGCTATAGATGACTTGCTCCAACAAGCAAGAGGTATTATTATATCTTATAATGCAACAAGCCTTGATGTCTCATATACTCTTGTAGACCATGTATTCCTGCAAAAAAGGGAAAAGCTCTTTCTAATGGGGTATGAGCTGTATCAACACTTATCTGCTTCCCTCTCCCCCATCTCCACCTTTTTCTTCCTTGTCTCCCACTCTCCATCACCTCTCTCCCATTGCTGCTTGTACTTTAGGCATGTATGCAGCGTGGTGAGCTTGTTCGGCAAACTTGTGGCTGGAAGCAGTTCAGTTATTAATATATTATTACTGACATGTCTTGAATATCTCAACCTAATTGTATGGCTTCACTTCATTTAGATCCCATAAATTCACTCACTTAGAAATCCAGAATACATAATTGTGAATGAAAATGATAAAGAACCTCTATGGACCATCAACATAACATGAATTACCATAAAACAAGCAAGTTCGTCTCCATGTTTAAGTGAATTAGAACTTTTAGTGTAAATAGAAAGCTCGCATGATGAATAGGATTCTTTAAAAACAGGTAAAAGAAATTTTAGTGTAGCTACCTTACGATGCAAGGCCTCACGAGCACCTCCTGGATAAAGGAGTACAAATGATCCTCTTGAAAACAGCCTATACATGTTCGAAGGAGTCACAGGCAATGCACCATAGATGCTCATGGTGTCAATGGTAGAAATCTCTTTCCGTGAGGTTTCAGTTGCTTTCGAGAACAAAAATGGGTGTCCCATGCCACGTATGATAACTTTTTTCTCCCTCAAAAACTCTTCATAAATGGGACGAAGTTCGAGCCCAATCAGCATATGGTTACCCACTAATAATACAGGACCTTTATCAGGAACCCCAGCAAGATTCCTCACAACCCTTCCATCTTTCAGGGTAGAGAAGATGACTGGACTTGTTGCAACTTTAAACCACCTGTAGTTATTAAGTGTTAGATGTGATTCAGTAAGAAATGTTGATCATCAAACATGATTTGTAAAATAGAATTACAGACAAGTTACCTATCACTTTGATGAATTGTTTTGAAATCACTGACAGATGGAGGAAGGTAATCTGTTACATTATCATGTCGTCTTGACCGACGGTATGTGATAGTGCCTTTAAGTATAGTCAACAGATTAATGCCATCTTCCTGAAAAAGTATGAAAAGTGAGTATTTAGTGTTTCCTATCCAGCCAATTGGTTAGGCTCTGGTATTTTAATTACCAACTATTTCACAATTCAAAAAGCAAGGCTGCTCTACTATAAACAAAGACAGTAGTTCTAACATCTAAGGTTTTATTCAGCTTTCATGTTCAAGTATAAACTGGTTTTAATAGAAACAATGAAAATTTAGCACATCACAGAGCTAAATTTTTTCAATAAACCCAGAACTTGTTGTCTAGCATTGATTTTTTACCACTCAAGTGCATTGGGCACAAAGCCCTCAATGAAACCAGAAACACAATGCAATCACAAATTCACAAACAAAAGTAAGCTATAAAGAAACAGAATGTTCAAGGATTAGAGAACATAGGTTGTCCCTTGACCAGTAATGGCAACTTACCAGTAGTAAGGTATGACCACTGTCCTTGAAATATCTAACTTTGCAATTCTTTAGTGAAGCCCAAAGTCGGTCTGCTTCATCTCCACTTGGTAGCAGGTTATCCTTGCCGCTAATACATTTTTCACAGCTACAAGTTATATATCTACATTCTGAATCGAACCAGTAGTCATACTGGACAGCAAACAGGAAGTAATACACAAAAGAATCAAGATATGGAAAGCTTCTTTGTACATGTATACATGTTGGATAGCTTCTTTGAAGTATCTAAATATGTTAGTCTTAAAAGTTTATTTCCAAAAATACCCTGAAAGCAAATCAAATGTGTATATATTGAAGGTCCATAAGTCAACCAAAAAGCAACGCATCAAACCTAATTTTTCTCTTGAAAAGTTGGTAAAGTTGGCAGCATTTTTACATGTCTCCAAGATATATGAATTATGCAAATATGCAAGAATAGACACAACAACAAGAGAAAGTAAAAATTTTGTGACCTAACACGATCCTCAATGCATCTCCTATTTAAATATAATATCAAACTAGAAAAAAGAGTATGTCAAGAAACTGCAAAAAATAAGTAAAAGAATTCATCCTTTGCATATACACTAATAATCATGCCATAGATTCACACTCCTATTTAAATATAATATCAAACTAGAAAAAAGAGTATGTCAAGAAACTGCAAAAAATAAGTAAAAGAATTCATCCTTTGCATATACACTAATAATCATGCCATAGATTCACACTTATATGGTGAAAAGTACCTAGAAAGAACTAGTACTTCAGCCTTTACAGCATGCAGCCGAGAATTCACATAAGCAGCACCTGATTTTAGCAGATTGAGTTTCCACAGAAGAGTGTCCCGGGGTATGATATCTGCCAAATCCTGTTATATTGTATAAATCATGTATCATGGTATAAACAATATTTGCCATTAACCCTCTGTGGGGTCCAGACTTTGATGATACACCTATAATTACTATTCACTGAAGGTCATCAATTCTTATGATATACAAGAGAGGGCAAGAGTAAAAGGACAAGCATGTAGCATTATAAGATAAAATGCATGTCAAATATACTTCCCTTAATAGCTAAAACAGTACATCCTAGTATATCTGGAAAACTTTTCTCTATAGCCTTAAGAAAGAATGTTCACACATAACTTTATTAATCCAACAAATAAAACATTTTGGAAAACAGGGTTTTCTATAGTTTACAGAAAAAATAAGAATTTACAATTAATACAATTCATTATGCAGTAATTCAAATCACTTAAAAGTTAAAACAATTAATCAAAACAGCAAATCAAATTGGAAATTTGAAAAAATAAATAGTTACGCACTAATCTTGTCTGATCTATCTAGCTATAAACTACTAAATATTCTAAACATTATTCATTGATTTCATTCTATCTTATATATGTTAGATAATCCTAGAAGGCTAGAACCTAAAAGACTGTTTTCATGGTTCAACTGCACAAAATAATAGAGGCATGCACTTGAAATGAAAGTTTAGATTTCAAAAAATCATGAGATTGCTATTTCATTTTGCACTTTCCTTGTAACATACAGTCAATAAAAGATATTTCTGATAACACTGGATTCTAATTCAATAATAAAACAGCTGGAAGTCAATCTGTTAGATCTGGTGTCCATTATTCAAACAGGCATCCACCTGACCCATACTTGGTATGACCAAAAGAGAAAGTTAACAATTAAAATATTGATCAGCTGGCTTAAAGATATTTGAGATTAATTTTCCAAAATGAATTAATATCGACTACAGGATTTAGGGTGCTCTTTTTGTAAGCTTAAGGAGTTAATTCATTTGTGGTCCATACCTATTTTTGTTAAAAAAGCATGACTAGAAAAAAGCACCCATATACAGGTGCACGAACACAAAAGATAACAGACCAGTCAACTCTTAAAGATAACAAAGCTGGCTCAGGATTTGGTCCCAGCCACTCAACAACAAATCAAGGTAATTTGTCGTGTTTGAGTTTTTTTATTTCCCTGATTCAAAATATACATATGTAAGAAAGAAATTGAATGCAATGTCCATCTAAAGCTTATCACTGTAGATGATAGAGTAACTGACAGATGCTTACCTTTTCAGTTAATGAAAGATTTGGGCTTAAGCCTTGATGCAATAATAGCCCTGTGTCTTATAAAAATGAGGGGCTTGTTTACTTTTCTTAATGATGATGAAAAATCATTAGATAACAGGTTCATAACCTTGACATAGTAGTAGTGCTTTATCTTATGAAAAGGGCTGACTAAGCTGATTTGTTCTTCTCAATGATGATGAAATGATGCATGCCCCTTATCCCAAATAGTCAGAAACAAAATCTTGCTGTTGAATAATGAGCTAATGTGATAGATTCTTGGTTATTGATTACATTTGCACACATGTGAGGTGTGGTAGTGTGACACCATAAGCTCCAGTCAATCCTGTCCCAAGCCTGTTGGATCAGCCAAAACTGACCTGCATCTGACCAATATAAATGAACCAGCAGGTACATGGACTGGGTTGGAGTTGAGATTTTGTGGAACACTAGTGGTCAAGTTGACTTCTGCCAAGCCCTATTGGAAATTTGAGTTGTCAATAGGACCCAGTTTTGAGCTCAAATTGAATTTGGTGTATCTTCTCGGTTTAACAGGCTGGACATAGGCTAATTTAAAAAGATGAGCTTGGTCACTGTTCAGTTACTTTGCCTTGACTCGATGGCCCAAGTCAATGCATCACTTTTTGATGAAGGGTCACTACATGTCAATACATCAGTTGTTTCCCTGGTAGTCATTGTTGAGTGTCCGATTTAAGACTTCAGCTGCCATGAGGACATAAAAGGGCACGTCCAAGTTTGGAGGATCCGCATTTATTACTATAAGAGATTGAAGCATGGAAAACCTTCCCATTCTTCTCTCTTGAGCACATGCCACACATAGAAGCTGATGCAGCTATAGAAAGAAGATACTTAGCAGAAACTTCCCAGAAAAAAGATGCCAAACAGAATTAGTCATTAAGTGAGAGTGTAGCAATGGATCAACAAAACCTACACAAGAATTTAAAAGCAGTAGAGCTACAGGTAAAAATATGTGTTGACAAATCAAGACTGGCAGAAAGGATCTCATTAGTGAACATGCTGAGCTCAACTGCCCTCCTGAAACAAAGTGCATATGAACGCAATAACGTAGACCTTGTAAGACTTCAAATTCAGAAATGAGATTTTCTTTAAAGCCTACACATGAAGAAGAAATAGCACTTATTGAAAAACAAAGCATTGTGTAATTGCATTGGATTGTCCTTAAACCTTTTGCATGGCAGGAACCCATCACAATGCATTGTCCTTCTATAATTGCATTAATAAAGCATTGTGTAAAACACAGTGATTACTGATATCCTTCCATAAATTCTGAACTAGATAGAGGTAGCAAATAGATGAGAATTAATTGAGTAGTCTTACCGAAAGCAAAGGCAATAATGAAGTGAGACTGTTTGACAATTCTTCAAATGTTTGCAGTATAGGAAGGTTATCTTCCACACTCGCCATTGCCATTTTTACAGGATCACCTATTGCCAATGAGCCAAAACAGTTAGTGGAATACTTCTTCCAAAGAGAATAAGGTAACTAGTACCAAGGTTTGCTGTACTGCCTTAGTCAATATGATACAGGTGGTACGTACCAATCCAGCTCACCACTGAGACATGGTTCACCCAAGTCCCTGTTGGCATGCCCAGAATTCCATGTGTTGGTACACCTATACAAACAGGTATGTACCATACTGACAAATCTCCAAGACGGGTCCGGTAACCGAAAAGACGAACCCTGACTAGTACAATAAGAAAACATGCAAGCATCTTTTATGACGTCCAAATTTTGTTGAAAGGAATGATACAACAAGAAGATCTGCATCCCTGCTTATGGCATCAGCCACAAATGGACCCTTTTCTATGATGGAACTCTATCAAAGAGTACAATGTCACTGTTCAAACAAAGGACCAATACGTTATTTAAATCTTCCTCTACCATTTCTCACATTACATCTTAGCTTACTTACCTCAATCATATTTGAAGGCAAGAATTGATGCTCTGGCCAAAAATTCTCATTCAATGAAAGAACAAGTTCCATAACTGGGGTATTGGACTGGTTTATGTTTAAGTTATACTGGCTGATTTGGATCCATGTCTAATTCAGACCAAATTGATTTATTCTTGCCTCGGATTCCACTTGCCCCTATTCTGTTCAGGTTCAGGTTCAGACTAGTGAAAAGAAAAGAGAATATCACAGGAGAGAAGTTTTCAACTGCCTCCATCACTTCTTTTTCTACTTTTGTGTTCAGTTCCATTGCCACATGCCTTAGTATTGACATAATTCACATGTTGTGCATGATTTGGATCCAAGTCTAATTCTGACCAAATTAATTTATACTTGCCTCTAGGACTCCACTTGCCCCAATTCTTTTCAGGTTCAGGTTCAGACTCTAGTGAAAAGGTAAGAGAATATCACAGGAGAGAAGCTTTCAACTACCTCCATCACTTCATTTTCTTCTATGTGTTCAGTTCCATTGGCACATTGCCACATGCCTTAGTATTGACATAACTCACATAATGTGCATGATATCCAGGCAACCAAATGAAATTATTGGTGTAGGCAACACCGGAACCCTAGTTAATGAATCTGCTTTGACAAGTCCAAAACCATTTTATATGTATTTTGCAAGGTTTATCCTCGTTATATGTATACATCCATCTCAATATTCTCATCTGAGTGATACCTTCTCTTTTAGTGTGTTATTTCTTAAATACCCAATATAAAGGATCACTACTCACTTACTTCCTATGGAACTAAAGGGCACATCACAATTGCACTAGATTCCAAAAGCTTCTGGATGAAATATTAGCAATTTTCATTCTTTAATGTGCAAATATGTAGCAAAGCCTCTTGGATGAACTGAATTCTGTATTATGAAAAAACATTACTCATCATTCCTATATTTTTCATCTTTTTACCAATCCTTAAGATTGTTAGAGCTCTTTGGCACTTCCACAAGTGTGCCTGACTTGAATCCACCCAGCACCACCCAAACCTTTGCGTGATACCTCCAAAAGTTAAATTTTAATGTGAATGGAACTCAACAACCACATTCAATCTCGTGAGATCCTAGTAAGAAAAGGATGGTTGGTTGTCCATCTTTAGATCATATCATTTCCCAATCGCCTAGCCGCAGATGTGCAGGGATGTATCATGCCTCATTTCAAAGCTCCACCATTTGCAATGTGCTTTTGATGCTTTATGGCCGCATGGAGAATTTATTTTATTTCCTGAATGGTAACTTAGCTAAGATAGCTATGTTGGTTGTTTGTCATATGTATATCAGTAACAAATTGTACCAGATCCTCTTTTGCTTCTCTAAACATTTCTCACTTTATATTCAACAAACGGTAATCTCAAGATCCTATCAATCACAAAAAAATCATAAATTGGACTAGGACAGCTGGTGGAATGACTTGATCAAGAATACTCGGTTGATGACCATATCAGCACTCTACTTGCATAATTTTCTGATGTTGAATTAGAAGAAAAACATATCACAAAGCAGGGTTTTGAATACCGGTCCGTATCTCGGTACGATACGTACCGGTATATACCATTGGTACACTAGGGCGTACCGATGGTACACCCTAAAACCTTAAAAATATCCTCACCTATCACTCCAGGGCGTACTGATCGGTATGCCTCAGCAACGATTGAAATCCAGGGCGGTACCGATCGGTACGCCTCGATACCGGTCAAAACACTGGTACTGCCCGGTAGAGGATGGTCCGTGTACCAATATCCTCTCAGACCGGTACGTACCGCTCATACCGGGCGGTACACATCGAAATTGAGAACCCTATCACAAAGTACTCATGTCATCTAATCTGATATTATATGCACCATACTATCATAGCTTAGTTACTAAATTTGCAGAAGCTAATTCACTCAACTCCATAGTATCTCATTCCTTTGACCGAAGTTTAACAAAGATCATGCCTGATCAGAAAGTGTAAATCTATTATCTATTATACGAAGTAAAAAACGAGAATGTGATAAAGACACAAACCCATGATAAAGCTAAGAAGGTAAGGAACAGTAACATGAAGGTTGCTAGGTAGAGCCTCCAGGATAGGGATTAAAGGCTGCACTTGAGATTTGCCAAATGATGTTGCTGAAGGAAATGATACGTACATCAGTAACAACTAAGATAATCAAGAATTATTTTAAAAAATTTTGCAAGGCCACCAAATAGCATTTGTGCTACAAACCTGGATTGACTAACACTAATACTAAGTCAATGTTAGGATTGCGAGCTGCAACAGCAAGAGCTAAGCATCCACCAAAGGAATCTCCAACAAGATATATAGGCTTATCCGGAGACATAGCATGCTCATTCTTCACAGAGTTCTCCACAAACTTTACAAGTCCTTAGTGCAAAAATACGATCCATTAGGATTAGGAAGACTTGTGCTTTTTAACAGTTTAGCATATACAAAACACCCCACAATCCACCGAAAGAAAAATAAACCACCCACAAAAACAAAACACGAAAGAGAAAGTAATATGAAACAGTCTTCCACAATCAAGCATCATCTATAAGACAAACAAGTTAACAAGATGCAAACAGAAGCACTTTAAAAAACCAGTGGAGGCAGGATGAATGTCACTTTAACTAGTAGTAAGAGAAAAGCTAAGAATTCAGTTTTTTATCAAGCCGAGGCTGCACAAAAAGGATATATGTTCATGCCAGGGCATCAATAGATGATACAGCCAGGCAATGAAGGAGTTTGAAAAAAACAACAATTGACAACAAGACATTGCTTGACTCATTCATACGCACCACTAGGAACAGAAAGAACAACAAGCCATAATGTACTAACAATCTGGGGTTAGCTACATGAATCTTTTTTTTCAAAATTTGGTGTAAATCCATGATCACAAGATCCGACCAAGTAATATACAGTCTGTCAACTGTATATTGCAACGTCCTTCTTCTATGCCTGGGATTGAACAGAAAAAATAAACATGCACAGGCATAGTTTAGTTGATTACCACAAAATGAAACATTCTAACATGATCCTTATGCTGTACTTTTAAATGGGAGTAGAAAAAACTTTCTTGGTCAATGACACATACCCCATTACGTACTACCATAATAATAAGTTGATGGACCCTATATTACAACCACAAAAGAATAAGTAACAAATATAGGGAAATTAATAATGCCAATTCAACACTCAACTTACTAAAAACAACTCAAAAAGGGTTACTAAATCTATTTTGATACCCCAACTTCAAGGATGAATTCAAAGTACCAAGTGAGAATGAGATGCTAGTTTTGGACTAAAACTTGAGCCAAACATGCTGCACCATAATGAGCAGTAAATACCATATGACCATCATACGATCATAGTTTATTTCCATGCAAAATCTATAATCGTATGTTAATGTCTACACATTGCTACACAGTTCATCGCATGTGCCAATAAGTTACAAATGGCACCATGCCTCAACAAACGCATTACAGTTTTGAAATTTCATATGCAGAAGTCAAAGGTAGTCCTCAACAACGAAAAGATTGCCTGGTGTATGTCCAAAAAACGAATCAGTACAAAAGTACTTGGAACAATTGTGCATATAGTTTTGCTTATCTGCCTTAAAATTGGATAGTTTTGCTTGCATATATAAAACGAAGCACAGGAAACATTTCTTTATCACTCACTCCATCTCAAATACAAAGGGATCATCATGTAACCAAGATGAGCTTGGTCCCCAAGGGCTCTTCACAATTGTGAGAGCCACTAAAAGCATAATGATCCATTCAGAATAAATATATTTGAAAAACTATGGTGCATGGCCTCTCTCATTGAGGGTTTTATCACCACATACATAATTCTTATGAACTCTAAGTGGCCCATCCATGATCACCTATTTGATCTGTATCAAAAATCCACCATTGCAGTAATGATTAAAAGGGATTTTCCTAAGGTGGCTAGCTACTAAGTCTCTATGCATCTTTAATCATTATAGGTGTCCGACTTGTTCAATAGGTGTGGTAATTATTCTTAGAGGTGACTTTTGTGGCTTTATGTTAAAAGAGCAACAAATTACTACTGAAGAAGGATCGTTTTCCTTAAAACGTAGATCCTATTTGTCCAAGGTAAGCAAGCATGTCTATATAAGCTTTTGTCTTAGTCGATACCACATAAGGACAGACATTTCTTACAAACACTCCCTAATTGTTTTTAATCTTTTCTTATAAATCACAAAAAAAGTTGTCATTTAAATGAAAACCAAATAAATTATTGTCTCCACTATAAGAAATAAAAAATGCTGATGCACAACAAATTCTTTTTAGATAGCTGTAGAAGTAAATTCATCAGATTTTCTTGTAAATCTACTCTAGCTTACAAGACTAATTGAATCAAAAATAGAAAGAAAAAAATTATCTGCCATAATACATTACATTGATTCCAAGAAATATTACATTGCAATTTATCCCATAATCTAGCAATAGAAACATCCATAGAGGAACAGTGAAAACATTTGTAGCAGAAGGAATTGCCAAATAGAAGGAAGTGCTCAAACACACAGATTAAAGAATGATCCAAACCTTCGAATGGTGTTCTATCATTTATCGGGATGTGCAAGCACCTTACTTCGAAAACCCTGTAGATCAGAAAAAATGGAAAGAATACCGATCATAAACATAATCAGAAATTGGGAACAAAAATTCACTGGATAAAAAGAAAAAACAAAAGTTGTTAAAATCAGGTAATGCAACAATGGCGAAGGTTATTCAGCAAAAGACAAATAATAAAGATTTGTAAAATCTTGCGAAGAGTTAGTTCCCAATTTCTTGCAGAACTCAACGAGCTAAATTCATAAATCCACTCATTCATACTGCGTAAGCATCTTACTTTCCAAGAGATTTGTGATGCAAAATCAACCCCATTCCAACGCCATCGGTACCTGCACAAAAAGAGTCGGGTCAGAAACGTACCCTAGTAGATATGAATCAATCGCCAATCTCGTAGAGATTGTACAAGTGCATGAACGAAATAATACTTGCGTTCAAAAAACAAACAGAAAAAGAAGATCGAGAACCAGAATTGAAGATCACCAGGCAAGAAGAGCAGCAAAGGCGAGTCCCTTATAGGCGCTCCGCATTCGACAGGGCAGAACCAGCGAGGAGGGCCACCGTCGGGCTTATCGATCGCCTTGGCGGCGTCGAAGTAGTCCTTGACGCTGACGGCCCCGAACCCATCATCATAAAGCACGTCCAATCCTCCATTCTCGTCACCGGACACCTTCTTCACCTGTTCAGAGTGACCGAACGTCCGCCGAGCCCGGTCCGACTCCAAGCGAGGCGCATCCCTCGCCCGACTCTCGCTTACCGCCGCAAGCCGAAGCCTCGGTCTGGGAGGGCGAGGCCGACACGGCGAGACTGGCAGGGAAGGGAGCGCGGGGAACGGGGACGAAGACAAGGACATGTATGAAGATGGAAGATGGAAGCGATCCAAAGATGAAAGTGGGCGCGGTTTGTTGGCAAAGATGGCCACGATTCGTCAAACTATAAATTAAGCCGGTCAAGTTACCGACCGTTATAATTACCAACAAAAGGTTTAGTTAGAAAGACCAATAAAAAAAGCCAAACAGAATAATAAATCAATTTGTAATTTTTTTTTCACTTAAATATCCATCCATCCTTTATATAAGGATCAATTTTTTTTTTCCTTTAGGAACGATAAGATATATATTAATATCTTAATATTATTATTATAAAAATATTATTTTTTATAAAAAAAATAAAATAATAAAGATGAAATTGAAGCTCAGAACGTTACGATAAACTATCAAACTCTTTATCATCGACTAAAATAGTCGACGTCTTGGAAGTCCATCTACTATAGTTTTTAAAAAATTATCAAGTTATTTTTTATATAATATGAATTGTGTTTAAAAAGAAAAATGAGGACAAATTAGAAGGATGAAAAGTTGGGATTCCAATAGCTTGTAGCATGGTTTTCTCATCCCAACCACTCGTTTCAAAGCCCCACAAGTCATCGTCGTATTTAGCAGCATGGTTTCTTCTTGATCTTTGGGATTGGATTATGTGGCTGTGGATCGTTAGATGAGGAGAGGTGCACCAAAGCAAGCCTTACCTTCTTCGACTTCGGGAGGAGGTTGACACAGACACACGTCGTCGTAGCGTGAACGAAACGTATCGAGAACGAAGACCTCATGAAGAAGATAGCAAGAGGGAGGCGACTACTACTGTGTTCAGATTCTTTGATGCTTGCTTGCTTACAGTTCCAATTGTGAGCAGGTGTGGATCAAAAAGAAAAGGAAATTATTATTATTATTATTATTATTATTATTATTACAGGCACTTTCATTACGATCTTGTGATGAAAGTTTTTTTTTTCTTTTGATTCTTTGATTAAAAACAGACCATTCGAAGGATAAAATTACTTTTAAAAATGAAAAATATTTAGAAATTAAGGGTTAGTTTATCAATAAAAATGTTTTGTATATTAATATATCTCAATATTAGTTGTGATATGAAACATCACACTGAAAACCTCCTAAGATTTAGACACCCAAAGTCCTCGATTCGACACCCAAAAAGCTGAATCAAAAGACACTACCGTTGAGATCTTATCATCGTATTGATATTATACAACAAATGTGAATGTAATCTTCTATTCTGTTGAGGAAAATTCTTTCTCCTAATTTGTATAAATATGAGAGGGAACATGTTAATGTATTGAAGTATTTTCATTTCTTCAATACAATCTTCTTCTTTTTAGAAGTTTCGCTCTTGTCTTTGGCTAGTGACCAACGTCGTTGAGAAAAGCGAAGCTTCGCCCTTGTCTTCGGCCAACGACCAACGTCGCTGTAGTCAAATTCCTAAGAGGCTCCACGGTCAATCCTCATCTTCCTCACCGCGACAATCTTCTTCTTTTTATTTCATTTCTATCATTGGTGGCACACTGAGTAGAGAAGCTGTTTGCAGACTCCACTGTGTCTCTCATCGTTGCAGCTTCCGTTGTCACTCACATCCCCAAAGCATCGTGTCCTTTAAACCACGTAGAGGCAGTGAGGTTGCCAACCTTTTCTTATCATATGGGGGAGAACACAAACAGATCATATCATTCTATGAACCTTCAAACACACGATTACTGTAAAACCCATGCACGAGTAAGGTGAGATGATGCAAAGATGAATTCCGATCGAAATTAGCAATGGAGTGATGCATGGACGATAGATAGCTTGCACGTACAAGAAAGATTGCTGCAATTACTTGAGAGGAGGGGAAGGGGGTAGGAAGGTGGCAACATCAACGTCGCTGTTTCTTGTGGTGAGAGCTTCGCTACGACATTGCATTTTCCGTGGGCAAGAACAAGTGTGATTTCCATGTCTGAAACCGAAGATCGATCGACAAAAAGTATTCTATTGCTAACGAGCAAAATCCGAAAAAAATTATTTCGATCAATCGACTCAATGGCAACACTGTCCTAACATAATTAAGGTATAGAATAATTTATCTATTTTTATTTTATTAAATCTGATATTCAAAATATTTTAAAAAAATCCATCATCATCTTATATGTCAATTTAAATTATCATCGATATAGAATATATTATCATGATATGACATATGAGATAACTGGCTAATTAATTTATTTACGAATCAATTTGATGAGATAATCGATCCGTTAATTGACTGAGCTTATGTCTAATTTAACAAAAGTATTAGAAAAAAATATCGTTGACGTCTTAATTAGCTCGATGTAGTCCGAACCTATATACGTAGGGTTGTTCGAAGTATTCTCATGATATAATATAATGAGATAACTGACTAATTAATTTATTTACGAATCAGTTTGATGAGATAATCGATCCGTTAATTTATTGAGCTTATGTCTAATTTAACAAAAGTATTAGAAAAAAATATCGTTGACGTCTTAATTAGCTCGATGTAGTCCAAACCTATATACGTAGGGTTATTCGAAGTATTCTCATGATATGATATAATGAGATAACTGACTAATTAATTTATTTACGAATCAGTTTGATGAGATAATCGATCCGTTAATTTACTGAACTTATGTCTAATTTAACAAAAGTATTAGAAAAAAATATCATCGACGTCTTAATTAGCTCGATGTAATCTAGACCTGTATACGTAGGGTTGTTCGAGGTATTCTCAAGAGGAAACATTAAACTTCTTAGGCATCACATCTGTACGAAAAGCAAGGTCAAAAGAGATTTCTTGACTCAGTTCATCCGACACTCAAGTTAGGAACCCGAGATATATTAGTACATGAATAGTTAAAAGAAATCATCTTTCTCTATGTTAAAGACAAGCTTTTATGTCTAATCGCAAAGGGCAAAAAGAAGCTTACAATTATGTTTTTTACCATAAATGGTAAGAATAAAGCTCATAGTTTTCTTTCTTATCATAAATGATAAGAAGAAAGTTTATGATTATTTTTATGATCATAAATAATAAGAAGGTTTCTACTCACTTTTTAGCACACATGAGGATGATGTGTTGGATGATTAATCGATAATATATCCCTTATAAATCAATCTAAATCATATTTAACTGATAAGATAATGTAAAAATCTTATCTGGAATCTCTCATTCTTTACTTATCCTTTGTAAAAATAATAATAATAATAATCATATAACTCTAACATTAGCATAACCCAATGATTTCAAATACTCTTTTATCGTTTGAAATATTATCTCGATCCAAATTAATATGTACTCAATTCTAATTTAACAAAAGTATACCCACTTCTACAAGTCAATGGAGTTTAGACGATGTGAAACGTTGTATCGACATCTTTGTCCCCTTTCTTTCGAGAAGGGGAGGAGATGGGCGTGCACGTGTTACAATGCCACGTCGTTTTCTTCTAGAAGGGCCTGTCCACTAGCGTGGAAGTCAACTCGAACGGGCCAATGAACAGAACATATAATAATACTAATAATGGTGACATCATAAGGCAAAGGCATGTGGAGAATTGGCGTCGAACGTACACCACCGCCCGACCACGTTTGACGTCTCGTGGGATCGCCTCTTCCTGTTTCGTCCCCATCCACGGACGGAGCACCGTTCGTCCTCGGTGCGTGTGGTGCGCCACCCCACCATTCCTCCACCTCAGCAATCATTTCATTCAGTATTTTGCTTTGTTTTTTTTGTTCCTTTTTCTTTTTTCTATCTCTTGATAATAATTCAAAAAAATAATAATAATAAAAGAAAGATAGTTACATCTATTCAGATCAGATCAAAATAAAAAGGTAAGAGTATATGTTGTTCAGGAAAAGAGTGATCTGTAACAGTGGATGATAGCAACAGCGTTCCAGCCACCTTCTCTCCTCTCTCCTCTCTCTCCTCTCCCCGGTATATAGTTGCACCTCGGGAGGCTCTGCTGGTGCCACCACATCCGCACCTCCCATGGAGACCTCAGGAGACTCCGAGGCAGCTTCCGATCCCGTCGCGGAGGACGACGACGACGACGACGACGATGACATGGAGTCCTGCTGCTGCATCGACGACGACGACGCTGCTCGCGCCAGCTCATGCTTCTCGGAAGGTGAGTCGACCGATCACGACGGCGGCCGTGAAGAAGAAGCCCAAGACGAAGAAGGTGACGGTGATGACGGAGCTCCTGCGGAGGACTGCAGTACGTTAACGCGGTCATCATCGGGGGCGGAGGAGGAGGAACGGGTGGTGGATCCCGGAGAAGAGAACAGGCTATTCTGGGAGACTTGCTTGGCTTCAGGATATCCTTAGAGAAACGGGCTCTCTCTCTCTCTCTCTTCTCTCTTCTCTTCTCTTCATGTATTGATAGGTTTCTGTGGAAATTAATGAATTAAAAATAAAGCATCTAATAATTATTTTTCTTTTGTTCTTTGAAGTGCTCAGATGTACCAATAAATATCTTAGAGGACCAGATGACATGGGACTTGACCTAACCTTCATTGCCTTCTTCTTGTCTTTGGACCAGCAGCAAGCAGATTACAACATTCCAACACCAATACTTCCATCACCAAAACGATGACCAACCAAACCCAGTCAACGTACTATTTTCGAAGCTAATTAATATATATATATATATATGTATAAAGAGAGAGAGAGAGAGAGAGAGAGAGAGAGAGAGAGAGAGAGAGATGATGAAGTTAGTCTAATTGATCAACAGTTATGATTAGTATGACTACAGTGCATAATTTGACGAATTAAGTCCACGGTTGGATTGAACAAGTCAAGCTAAGAAAAAAAATAGTTTATTAGAATTTCAACACAACACGATTCTTTTTTATTTCTTAATCTTTATGGAGTCCGGAAAAGTAAATGATTTTGAAAAATAAGCATAATTTTGGTCATGTTTGGATCAGAAAAATCAGCAATATAGTGGAAGGATAGACCGAAAAAACCCAATGAATTATGCAAACACCAAAGAAAAACTTGCTAATATCTTGTGTTTTTTTTCTTTGCTCGTAAAGAGGAAAATATTAGAATTTGAGATTATGGAGGGTTTAGATGGAGATGGAGCCTTCAATATGATCCAACTCCACTCAAATGAGAGGAATCATATAAAAATTAGATGATAATATCAAAACCCTTTGAGCCATCATCATCAATGATAGGATGTTGGATAGATAAGTCCATCATCCCCCACATCAAAAACGAGTCGAATTATTGTTTTGGAAAATATAGTAGTATTCCAAAAATCGAAACCATACATTATAATGATCAAGCAAAGCTTAGATCGTCCTGTTTTCATTGCCTAATTATTTTCCTATATATATATATCTTAATGATTGTTTTCATGGGAATTACTAATGTTGTTCACTTGTCCATGAGTTAATAATACCAACAAAAATTATACTTGGGCCGACAGCTTCCTCCTAATTCTCCTTGATTCCCTCCCAATTATTAATTGCATTGGATTAGGACCTAAATTTGGAGTTGACATGTCTTCTTCCCAAGAGAGGATATATAGCAACATCCAGTTGCTCACCATATGCCAAAGAAGGAGATGCTAAGATTTGAACCCCAAAAATATAAATTATATAATGTTATTATTTATTATGATGGATATATATATAATTGATCCCTTACCTACCTACCCAAGTGCTAACTATATGCCTTATGGGACACAAGCTCATGAAACAAAAGAGTGATGTCAAGACATGGAGCAGTCTGTGTGAAGCTTGTGAGCTTATCACTCATGGGAGCATTAATTGAAGGCTGAAATGTCGGGTGGAAAGAAGAATAAATGGAAACAAGTAGAGACTGCCTTTGAATTCGAAATGACCCAAACACAATTATGATGCTGACAGACACACAAAAGAGAGAAAAGGAACACAAAAGAGAGAAACAATGATCAAGAAAGAAAGAGGTTTTTTCTCTTAAAAAATAGCTGCTTTTTTTTTTCTTTTAAGAATTCTTAGGTGTAACCATATATCCCTTCAACTCAAGAATAATAATAGAATTTGGGTAATTTTGATCTTCCAATCTACTGCACACTTCAAATAAGGTTGGGGTAGAGTATAGTGAATCTATTTGATGAGATGTCCAAAAATCTATCTACATAATAGGATCCTCTTTTGATGCTCAAGTTGGTAGAGACGACGATAACACTAAAAAGAGAATAATAATATGCATGTTGATGATGATAGTAGTCGTAGATCCACCTTAAAATATTCTCTACAATCGTAAGATCGATTAATAGTACATACACTTATGACATTAGTGATGAAGGTGTACCAGATATACTCATTAAAGATTAAAATTTCGAAATCTCATCTAACAAATTTTACATCTAAAATATTGATTTTGATAGTAAGATCTTTATCACTTGGTTGAGAAAAAAAAACATTTTTCTCAAAATATTTTTCTATTAAGATTTGACTTGCAACGAAGGTCGAAAAATTAGAATAGAATTTGTTGTCATGGTGATTTTGTCTTGATTGACTACGACTACCATAGTAGCAATGTGTGGTGTTGGTGAGCTCGACGATGAAGAGATTAGTCGGAGGCGTAGAAGAATGTTGTAGTGCCACTTTCTCAGAGTTTGAACTTCTCGCTTGTAAGGCCCGATTGGAAGGAAATATGTCGCATTCGCTTGATGGATCGGTCATAAACAACAGCTCATGAGCACCCAAATCACAGTCATGTGTCCAATCTGGCTTGGTGGAATGATTGGGGATGGAGAGGATCGAACATCACTATGAAAAGGAAGATTAGGTTTGAGTGGCACAAAAAGAAAGTTGGTTTTGGAATTCCTATATTTTTAGGATGACATATTGAAAACATGTTAAATATTTATTTCAAGGTGGATTATGATTATCCTCTTATCTCCAAATCATACTTGGGTCAAATATCTTTTGAGTCCTAAAGGGATTTAAATTATTTAGAGTTTTTTGAAGTACAAGTTTTTTCTATTAAGATATGCCAAATATCTCCAAATTATTTGGAGAATAAAAAATTCAAGTACAAAAAGAATCACTTATAAATTAGAGTTTTTTTTGTTATATATATATATATATATATATATATATATATATATATATATATATATATATA